TGGAAACAATCAGAAAGACTATGTGAGAAAAAAAAAAGTAAGAGTTGTTTAGCTGCGTCCATCTAGCAAGCAGTTCAGAAGAAGGGAAAACTAAAGCTGCGGGTTCATAAACAACTGTCTATCAAAATGCTAGATCTTGTTTTCTCCTACCAGCACTGAGAAGAAGATAAAGAATGTCAAGGTGACGTGTACGTGGTTATGGTGGGAGAATAAAGACAGCAATGTCCTTGCTGATTCTATCTGCCAGAGTCATTCTTTTCCGTGTTCATTGTGAGAAGAAGGAGTGGGTGATGAAGGTTTTGTGAGGGGGGTGCTTTGCGTGTATAAAAGCCAGGGAGAGCATAACGTTCCTCCCAGAAATGCCCGTCTAACGAAATACTGTTATCAGCTCCCAACCACTTTCCCCCCTGATCGATCTTTGGTGTTGGGCAATGCAAATGGCTGCAGGTAGCCCTGGGTGTTGTACCATCAATGGAGAGTAATTATCTTCGGCAACAACCAATATTGGATTGTTAAGCCTCAGGATAAGGTAGCCGGCAGAGCCTTCAAACAGTCACTCACCTCCATGGGCTTGAAGGCTGATGGATGGATCAGCTGGGACTGGCTGCTACAGGGGATCCTGAGGCAAACTAGCAGAGTTACCAGCTCTCATCTCCCTCTGCCCTAACAGCTCAGCCTTTTAAATCCCCGAGAAAATTCATTTTTAATGTGCCTGGCGGAGGGCACTTTTTGTTCTACATCGATTTGATCAATCAGTAGGACTTTAGATGCTGAACAAAAACCTCCAGAAACATTTTCCAACAAAGCACCGATGAGAATTTTAAAGAAACTTAAAAACAAGTGGCTCGACAGGAACTCTACATACAGTAGCTCTGACAGCAGAGAGATGCACACTGCATAGAACTAAAACTCTATTACCAATTCAAGACTTAGATTCTCCGTAAAATCCTTTGCCAATTGTTGCCTGGCTACATCATTCAGTCAGTCGTGCATCTATGGAGCATCTCTATTACTGTAAAGTCCTTTACTTTTAGTTTATGCTCTTAAGAGTCCTACAAAGTGTCCGACATTGTGCGACCTCTGCTCTCAGAAGCAGTACTTGTGTTTTGGAGTACACTAGTGCTCCAAATGGATGACCTAGAAAGTCTGTCCATATTGAAAGATGGTAGTCATTGAATAAGGTGCTCATTCTCAAATCGTTGGTCTATGCCACTCAAGCCCCCGTAATGAATAAATCATGGATTCTGCAAGGCACTCTCCAGACAGAAATTACAATGTACAGCCCCAGATATAAAATGGAATAAAACATGACTGGGTCCCATTTTGATGGTGACAGCCTATGTTGTGCCTCTCTACCATCATTACTAGTAATAGTGTTCAGAGCGGAGATAGCTGGGATCCAGATTTACAGTGTTCGTCTGCAGCTTTAGTCATGCCAACCACAAATTATTTTTACAGCTGAAATTGTCAAAGACTTTAAATACTTTGCCATATGTGACATTTGTCAGTTCAGTGGGTATTCAATGCTTTTGTTACTGCCTCTTTGAAAACGCTAACATCTGTCAATTTCCCAGCTATTACCCTCCAGAGGGGAACAACAACTGCTGTCTGCTGCAGCTAATTTATATTTTGTTTATCAAATCCTTCACTTTTAGGAATGGGATTTCTTTTTCAACCTTAGAAAATGAAAGACGGTGAAGCAATTCGCTAAATAGTACCCACCAAGAAATATTTGCCGAACATCGTCTTATAAAACATGTGGCTTGAGGTCAGCAGTGGAGCTCACTGTCAACATCTGATCTACTATCAACATATTACTGTCCTCTCTCCTGCTTTCTCTCTTTACATAACAGCTTTCACACCACATGCACCTATTTTAGGAAGCTGCTGAAGAGGGAGGTGTGGTTGTGCCAGATGCTATTTCCACTAGGTAGATATTTGCACGGGGCCTGCAGATCCATTCAGTCGGTGCTGGCTTACCTGAGATTAACTGTTCCTCTGGCTGAAGCTGACAGCCTTAGTGGTCCATGGCTGAATGGACGTGAAGCTGAAAGCTGGTTGTTAAAGTACCGAAGGTCAGAAAATACACCCGAGCTTCCTCCCAGAGGAAATGTAGTGGTTAAACACCTACCTTAGCAGTTGTATGTGGATTTGCTCGTGTTAGGTTGAATCCTGCCCTGCGATGGACTGGCGGACCGTCCGGGGTGTACCCCGCCTCGCGCCCATTGAATGCTGGGACAGACTCCAGCGCGCCCGTGACCCTATTTGGGAATAAGCAGTACAGAAAATGGACGGATGGGATGGATGGATATGTTGAATCCTAGGGCTATTGGAACGCGGGCACTTCGCCATCAATCAAAAGCTATCAAGTGAATCGATGTCGTCCTCTAGCATCAGAAAATCTCACATTTATGAGGTATCTTTTGTTTTGTTTTTATGTGTTTTCCTCCTGCATTTCTAATCCATCAACACATTGAGGCGTGCTGCTTCATATAAGTCCATGTGCACATCATGAATTTTCAGCTCTGCACAGTCCTCCAACTCCCCAAACCCCCAGTAAATACAGATGTATTGGTGAATGCAGTTATTTGGCAGGAACAGCCACAGAGTCCAGCAGGACTTTTTTTCCTTTTTCATTCCTGGAAGAATTATATTTGTGTTACTTTGAGGGAGATGGCTGTATTATATTCTTAAAAAGCACCAAGAGTTTGCCAAATTTTGAAATTTTCCTCTTCAACATTAGAGGTAGGAGAAGTAAATACAATATGACTTCTAGGAATTATACCTTTTGGCTTGAAAACAGATGAATTCCCCCTCATATCAATAGTATGACACCAGTGTTTCATAATGCCCTGCTCATCCATCATAAGTCTTTTTGGCCTAAGCCTGGATTGTTTTGTAGGTTTCTGATCAGGTATGGCTGTTTTACTGCATTCAGTTGCTTACATGTTTAACTTTACCTGTATGGGTGAGCTGGTGGATCATTGGTGGTGTTCCTATGACTGGATATTTTCATTGGTCAGCGGACTCGGGGACAATCCTTTACAACAGCTGGGGAATAATTGCAAGTCTGGCATTCGTCCCACAGACCTGCAGAGTGCGGCCATAAGTTGGGCTATTGTTGCCAATAAGCACCACCTCGCCTGGCAATGCTGGAGAAAATCCATAAATACCCGGTTTGGATGGATATCATAATGTATTATTTATAATTCCACAATTCAGTATTTAAAGAGGATTTGTTTCACATATCAAAGCTCCCATTCTCTCAGGGGTTTCTCCGGAGCGTAACACAGCATGGCAGAAAGTAAACACCAATGTTAAACTTGTCTCCAGAAAACTCCACGGGGAGGTTGTAAAAGAGCCCCCTACTCTGCGTTGGCATTTTGCAAGCATAAGCCTCTTTCAACCTGACTTCAATCATGGCTAAGTTAAGCAGGTCATAAGAGTGAACAGAATTACTACAGGGCTCACTTTGTAGGAGCTGTCAAAGCTCTATCCTCCTCCTCTTTAGCCTCAGAGAGTTTTCTTCTAAAGTACATTTTAAGACTAACATCTTCACTGTGGAAAAGAAGTATA